GGAAGAAGAGAGAAGAGTGGGATCACTGCCCAGGAGCGGGGTGCCAGGGAGCGATGGGCACACAGCTCATTTTCTTTTTTTTTTAACTTACTTTTTGGTGAAAATATATATATCAAAGTATGCTTCCATTTAACAATTTCTACACATATTGTTAGTGACATCGGTTCCATCTTTCACACTGTCAACATTCTCGGCATTTCTGTTCTAGTTGTTTCACCCCCATTAATTGAGACTCACTGCCCTAAACTTCTATCTACGCTTCAGGGCCACTGTTATCTCTTCCATCTCATATAGATTTTTTTTTTAAGCACAATACTTAAGGATAACATTCTTTTTTGTTTTTTGAGCTAAACTGTTGTTGTTGTTTTTTTAATTTTATTGTTCTACTTTAAGTGAAAGCTTACAATTCAAGTTAGTCTCTCATACAAAAATTTACACATACATTGTTATGTGACCCTCGTTGCTCTCCCCATACTGCGACAGCACACTCATCCTTTCCATCCCGGATTTCCCGTGTCCATTCAACCAGCTCCTGACCCTCTCTGCCTTCCCATCTCACCTCTGGACAGGAGCTGCCCATTTAGTCTCATGTATCTACTTGGGCTAAGAAGCACACGCTTCACAAGTATCATATTATGTCCCATAGTTCAGTCTAATCTTTGACTGAAGATAAACTGTTTTTTTGTTTGCTTAGAAGATGACTTCAGGGGATAGTTTCAAGGTGTGAAGAGAATCCCAGGGCAACAATCTCAGCAGTTCCCCCAGCCTCAGTGAATTCAGTAAGTCTGGATTCTTTGAGAATTTGAAGTTCTGTTCCACATTTTTTTCCTGTCAGGATCCAGTTAGGAGCCCCGATGGCACTGTGGTTAAAGCTCTTGGCTGCCAATTGAAAGGTTGGAGGTTTGAACCCACCAGCCACTCTGTGGGAGGAAGATGTGGCAGTCTGCTTCCACAAAGATTACAGCCTTGGAAACCCTATAGGGCAGTTCTACTCTGTCCTACAGGGTGGCTATGAGTCGGAATTGACTCGACGGCAATGGGTTCACCAGAATCCATCTACGTGTTCCCAATTAAAACGTTTGGTAATGGTAGCCAGGCACTATCCAGTTCTTTTGGTCTCATGTTAGAGGAAGCAGTGGTTCCTGGAGACTATTGGTCCTGTAGTTCAGTTGCTTTTCTGATTTTTGGGCTTCCTTCTTCCTCCAATGCTCCATATGCATTTAGACCAATTGTATGTTGGATGGCCGCTCAGAGTCCATTTTCTAGCAAGATTTCCTCGACACACTCTCTTTTCCCCCTATTTTTCTGCCAGTTTGAGGCCCACCTCCTCCCCCAGGAAGCTCTATCCAGTCACACCAGCCTGCAAAGACTTCTCCCTCTTGAGAGCAGAACACCAACTCATTTGTCTCCAACAGTTACATTCCCTTACAAGGCCCTAGAGGTGACATGTGGCTCCCACATCAGAAGAGTTAAGTCCAAGAGGAGAAAGACACAGACCACACAGTCTTTCAGGGAAAGCTTGGATTCTGTGGCCAGACAGACACAGGTTCGAATCCCAGCTCTCCCATTTACTAGCTGTGGGGCCTTGTGCAGTTGGCTTCGCCTTGCTAAGTCTCCTCATCTGGAAAATGCGGATTGTACCCCTGCCTCACGCATGGAGATGAGGATCAGATGTGCTCATGGATGAAAATTCTTCCAAATCAGCTCTGGCGGGTTAGTAGAAAGTCTCTTCACACAAGAGTTAATAACTTTCTGTGATTTAAAACACAGATAGGTTCTGTCCCCCAAAAATATGCTAGTGTTGTGAAATGCTCACAGTGTCTGCCATCCTCCAAAGTCACTGGGGAACAGGGAAATAACTTCTTGAGCCCCTTGTACGAGACCCAGATTTATTCATCCAATGGGAAGATCCTCAACAAATACTTAGAAGCAGAACCTGGCGGTGCTGCATGCTAACAGGAACAATAGAGCAGAGAGAAGCTTCACTTCCACCCTTACCCAGGGAGGGCAATAGAGTTTATGCCCGATATGTCAACATTTTTGCCATCCATTAGTCTTACAATAAGGAGCCCTGGTGGCACAATGGTTAAGTGCTTGGCTGCTAACTGAAGGGTCAGTGGTTCAAATCCACCAGCTGCTCTTTGGAAACCCTATGGGGCAGTTTTACTCTGTCCTAACAGGGTCACTATGAGTTGGAATCGACTCAAGGGCAATGGGTTTGGTTTTTTTTTTTGATGGCACAATGGTTAAGTGCACGGATGCTAACTGAAAGGTTGGCGGTTCAAACCCACCCCGTGGCTCTGCAAGAGAAAAGACCTGGCGATCTGCTCCTGTAAAGATTACAGCCTAGAAAACCCTATGGGGCAGTTCTACTGTCACACTGGGTCACTATGAGTCGAAAATCGACTCAACGGCACCTAACAACAACGCAACAGTCTTCCAATGGGATTGTTTGAACCTGCGCTGTCCAATATGGTTGCCACTGGTCACTTGTGACTACTGAAATTTAAATGCAGGTCCTCAGCCAACTAGCCACGTGTCCAGTGCTCATTAGCCACATGCGGCTACTGTACTGACAGTGCAGATACAGAACATTTCCACCATCATCACTGCAGCAAGTTCTATCAGGCAGTGCTGGTCTAGATCTAAGGAAAAAGTGGCCCTTTCCTCTTCATTTTAACCCTTGCCACAGTCACCTAGATCTTGTCAACACCTGAGATTGGCCCATGATGCTTAGGGGCCAAGAAGGTGGCTCAGACCTGAGGCCTTCAAATTCAGCATTTCCCAATAGGGTATACATAAGCCCAAATCAGCAATGCCAAACCAAAAAACTAAACCCATTGCTGTCGAGTCAATTCTGACTCAAGTCGACCCCATGTGTTACAAAGTAGAACTGCTCCATAGGGTTTTCTTGGCTGTAACCTTTACAGAAACAGATTTCCAGGCCTTTCTTCTGTGGTGCTGCTGGGGAGACTCGAATCAGCAGCCTTTTTAGGTTAGCAGGTAAGCATAAACCATTTGCGCCACTGGCAAATACAGACACTGCCTTCACACTCCAGCAGGCCCCAAATGCCTGGCTCTACAAAGGATGACCCCATGGCCACAACCTCCAGCCAGGTCAGTGAGGAAATACGGGAAATGAAAACCAGAAGTGTCCCCGCACCCTCCCGCACAAGGGGGTTATCAAAATCCCAGGGTCTCACTGCCTCAGAAAGCCCAGGTGCCGGCAGTGGCTACAAGAGGCCTGGAAATCTGCAGGCAAGGAAGGTTCTAGGCAGAGCTGTGACCCTGGTGAGCAAGGTCGTGGGAGGTTAGCTCTCAGCCAGTACCTGGGCACATACCTCACGCAGGCCTGAGGAGCCAGGTTGGTGAGGCCTGCAAACTCCAGGCAGTGCTCCGGTGGCTCCAGGTGTTGGGCCCTCTGGCTGCTGAACCAGCAGCAGGACCTACAGGACACCTCAGCAGATAAGAACCAACAGTCATCGCTGGCAACCTCTCCTCACCATCTCCGCTCCAGCCCACTGGCTTCCTTTCTATTCTGCAAGACACTGATCCTCTCTCCACCTCTGGGACTCCACACTTGCTCTTCCCTCTGCCTGGTGGGTGACCCCCTTGGCTTTTCCCATGGCGCACGGCTGAGGACTGGCTCAACCTCATCCTCCATGAGGGAGATCCCTGTCTGTCTCGTTCAACACTATGTCCCAGCATCCTGTGCTGGGCCTGGTGCCCAGGTACTCGGCAAAGGTTTGTTGAGTGACTGAATGAATGAGTGGATAGGGTTTTAGTAACATGATTAGAAACTATCCTTAACAACAGATCACCAACCCAAAAAACCAAACCTGTTGCCATCAGTTCTAACTCATGGAAATTCCATGTGTTACAGAGTAGCAGAGCTGCTCCATAAAGTTTTCTTGGCTGTATGCTTTACAGAGGCAGATCACCAGGCCTTTCTTCTGCAGTACTACTGGGTGGATTTGAACCACCAATATTTAGGTTAGTAGCCGAGCACAAGCTGCTTGAGCTACCCAGGGGCCTCCCACCAGAGACCGCAGGCCCTGCTAAAAAGAAGAGCTCAAGTCATCCTTTTGGCAGCTGTCTTTGAACTTTAAGCAGGTTTCTAGCAAGTAATGGCATAGAGTAGGCTACCTTATTTACATACCCTGGCATAGATTTTACAACTGGCTGCATTTGCACAAAGCTAGAATCAATCAATTCCCCCCCTCCTCTGTGTGTGTATGTGTCTGTGTGTGTCTCTGTGTGTCTATGTGTGTGCATGGGTACGTACACATGTATGTTTTGTTTTCTTCATAGCCAAGGTGGGTATTTGCTTTAAACTTTTCTGGGCTAAAATTATCAGGGTCATGATAAGGAATAAAAGGAATGGGGTGAGTCCCCTGCCTGGGGTTGGAGCAGGCCCACATGCTCACCCTCAGGCCACCCTGCAAGAAAGCGCCACAGTCATCCATTCAGCCATGAATCCTAGCCAAGATCCTCAATAGACACAAGAGGATGTCACTCTTACCCCCGAAGTCAGAGACTGTTGGGAAACATGGGTGGGTGACACTTCACTGTCAACACAGACCAGCTGCCCTCCCTCCCCCCAGGCAAGCTGTTTTTCCCTGTGCCATATCTAGTAAACCCCCTGCTGAAACAGTTAAGGAGATGCCTAGAGGACATGCCGACCAGCTATTTCTCTGGACCAGGGCCGCAAACACAGATGCCTGCAAGGGCCAGGCAGGCGATGGGAATGAGTGACGAGGGCTGGCATTGTGCAATAGGGAGTAGTGGGGACTGGGGCCCACTGGAAAGAGCCCTGCTGCTCCATTTGACATGTGGCGGCCTGCGAGAATCCAGCCTCAGGTGGCCCCTTCCCACCCCTAAGAGAAGGCAGACATCTGTATTTTTTAAATGCCAATTCTCTCCATTTTTAGGTTTTAGAAATACCAAGTAGGTGAAACAAAGCTTCAGGCTATCAGTTTGCAAGCTCAGCTCCAGATAATGGGAAAACCACCCCAGGAGCAGAAGCAGGGGCCCTGAAGGATAACTCCTTGGCACCCTCAGGACCCAGGATTTAATGATGTCCTTGGCATACACAAAGGGATGGAGCATGAGAAACAGCCCATGAAACATCTGAGCATCAACTGCAAGACTTGTGGGGATAGTGCTTGTTATGTTACCATGTTCTCATGATGCCCTTGGGAGAATTTCTCTCTGGGCCCAGTGTCGGGAATGGTCGTGCTTCTCCTACCAAGCAGGTGGACTTTATTTCATGAACACAATGAAGAGTGTACATGCTGTATTCTCCTCTTCCCCTTGGCCACTAGGAGACTTACAGTCTGTGGCTACCTCCAGCAAGCACCTAGGACTTCAAGGTACTCAGATTGTCATCAGTCTCTTCCAGGTCCCATCCTCTGCAGGTCCCTTCCTTGTTCCCTCTTGTCAATGTTCTTCTCATCCACTTCAAAAGATTATCTTGCTGCCCTGTCTTCAAATAAATAGGCTATTTTTATGTCCTTTTTGGATGTATTCAGGGTATAAATGAATTAATTTGAATCAAAATAAATAAGATTTGGTTCTGGAGAACCTGATTTTCATCTATTTCACTTCTTTCCAAGGAGCCCTGGTGGCACAGTGGTTAAAGCACTCAGCTTCTAACCGAAATGCCGGTGAGTTCAAACCCACCAGCCATTCAACAAAAGAAAGTTGTGGTGGTCTGCTTCCATAAGGATTAAATCCATTGCCGTCAAGTTGATTCCAACTCGTAGCGATCCTACAGGACAGAATAGAACTATCCCATAGAGCTTCCAAGGAGCAGCTGGGTGGATTCAAACTGCCAACCTTTTGGTTGGCTGCCAAGCTCTTAACCACTGTGCCACCAGGGCCCCCTGTAAAGATTACAGTCTTAGAAACTCTGAGGCAGTTCTACTCTGTCCTATAGAGTTGCTATGAGTCGGAATTGACTTGATGGCAATGGGTTCACATCTTTCCACCCCAAGAAGTCATTTCATATATCTGAGCCTGTTCCCTGATCTGCAAAATAGGCAGCCAACTCCCTGCTCATCCCACCTCAAAGAGGCATGGCAGGGACAAAAGGAGGAGCCATGTGCAGATGGGGGGGCCCTCGCACGAGGGCTTCCTGGGAGTCCTAGAGGTAGCACAGATCCAGCAGGAAGGTTTCCAGGAGGAGACGGCCCTTGGACATGCCCTTGGCACTGACTTCAGAATGGGCTCATTGTCAGACCAAAAAACCAAAACCAAAGAAGTTACCATCAAGGCGATTCCAACTCATGGTGACTCCATGTGTGTCAGAGTAGAGCTGCACTCCACAGGGTTTTCAATGGCTGTGATCTTTCAGAAGTAGACTGCCAGGTTTCTTCGGAGGTGCCTCTGGGTGAATCCAAACTGCCAACCTTTTAGTTAGTAGCCAAGTGCTTAACCATAGTTCCCAAATAGAGACCAGGGCTCCAGTGACTGTCCTGTCTTTGAAAGTACAGTGCAGTGAAATGCTATTATATAGTCCTTCTAGCCATGGTCTTGTAATTCCCACAAAATGATTGGGTGGAACTACGCAAACAAGGTGCATGGAACCCTTGTAGGGGATTGGTCAGTTTTGCCACCCTACTGGGTTTAAAAAGAGTCAATCCCAGAGGTTGAGGGGAGACTTCACTACCGTCAAGAAAAGCTAGGAGCAGAACACATCCTTTGGATCCAGGGTCTCTGTGCTGAAAACCTCCTAGACACAGGAGACAGAGAGAGCTATAGTACTGGAGATGGTCCAAGGCACAAGATGGCAAGAGATGGCAGCAAGCACAGCAGAGTCCAAAAGCAGAGAAATAGCAGCAGCGGAACCAGGAGACCAGCGCGAGACAGCACAATGGGCTTCTCAGCTCACAGAGCAAGGCAGCTACAGTGGGCTTGCCAACTCACAGAGAGAGCTGAACGTCTTTGGGCAAGAGACTTTCTGGCAGGGTGGGGTGCCTCCAGGGGCACTTATCAGTGGAACTAAACAGTTGTTAACACTTGCCCAAGCAAGGCAGAGGCCAGGCCCAGGCAGGGCCTGGTAGCAGAGACCTGCCTGCAGGCACGGCTAAGAAGCTGTCCTGATAGAAGAACTTACTGTTACTTTCAAACTGAACTGTAACCTGTTAACTTCCCTAATAAACCCCATAATTTTGAGTATGGTCTGTGAGTTCTGTGTAGGCATTACAATGAATTATTGAATTATAGAACCCAGCAGAGAAGTACAGAGTGCTGTGGGAGGGGCTGGTGTCAGACTTGGTAAAAAAAAGTCTGGAGAGTGTAGGTATGTCTGACCTCCACCTCACAGGAATCAGCTTTGGGCTGATGATGATGCTGATTCCCTCTCCTCCCCTGAACTTAGACGAGGTCTGACACTTCAGGATTATCTTTTATTCTGACATTCTGTCTTTCCTTCCTATGTTCAATGCGTCAATTTTTCTAAAAAGATGGCAAAGCTGGTGGTAACTGTTTTTAACTTCCTCTTGCAGGGTGTGACGTTGGCAACTTTACAACAGTTCCCCAAGATTGCCTTTTGGAGTTTTACTAGTCCATGGAAATCAAAATCTGAGAATGGATTACAAACCTCTGGAAGGCAGAGAACACACGTTCTATGCTTGTGTGTGTCAGGGAGGGCCACCTCAGCTTCAGAGGACAAAAGTCCAGCCCTGCCCGCCCACCATACTTACCGACACCTGGTACTGTATGTTTGAGGTCCAGACCTCCTCGTCCCCCACCACACACGGGATGGCTTCCGTCCAGCCCTTGAGGTCCTTCAAGGCCTGAGGAGAGTGGCAAGAGCACAGATGGGGTCCCTCTAATCTCCCCACCTAAAACCCTGATGCAGAGTCTACAATGCAGGTGCCAGGCAGGACCACCAATGAGAAGGGGGCTGAGCCAGGTCTGCAATCAACGAGAGTATGTCCTCTCAGCTCAGTCTCAGCATCTCTCAGCTCAGTCCACTGCCACCACCCAGGAAGTGTCGGCAGGTCTTCCCATTACAGAAACATAAAAACTGCACCTGAATTTCATGTTTAATGGCCTGAGTTTTAAGATATTGGTAATTAATGGTGACGGCTGTACCACATGATTGACGTAATTGATCTAATTGAATTCTATACATGGAAAAACATTGCATTGGCAAATGTCGTTATCTATAGTTTTACAAAAAATAAAATAAGATACTGGCAATTAATTTGAAAATGTTTTTAAGCCTAGAGTATCTGTGGGCTTGCAACCCTGACCTGGGCTGAGACGTCCCAAAGTGGCTCCAGGCTGTACCCCTGCTGCTCCCAGTTCTCCCCTCACTCCAGGCTTCTTCCCGAAGGCAGGGAGCAAGGGTAGAAGGGGGTGATGGTGCAAGCATGGAGCAGAGTTGGGGGCTGCTGGGTGCCCTGTGTGTGTTCCCCACTCCCCAGCCCCCGTTACCTTTTGCAGTGCATCTCGCTCGGGGCTGCCCTGAGTGAATGCCAAGACGGGCTCATTGGCCACCTTCAGGGAGGAGACGTGCTTCCACCGCAGCCTGGGCCACAAGAGAAGGGAACAGAGGCAGACAGGTCAGCAGCGGCTGCCACCAGTGCCAGACCCTGGCCCCTCTATCTCCACAGGGGCCCCAGGGGTTGGCCCAGAAGCCTGAAATTCAAAAATCAAGGTTCAAGTCCTGCTACTGTGTGTCCTTGGTCATGTGGCTTGCCTCCTCTGAGCCTGTTTCTGCCTCTATTAAGTGAGAACAGTCATACCAAGCTCACAGGATTGTTTGAGGTTTAATTCAGATATAAAACAATGTTTAAAGTGTTTAGCACATATGGAGGATTATTCTCCCTTTATCCCAAGAGACCATGTAGCTTTTTTCTCTCAGCTGAAAAGGCAGCACATTCCAGAGTGGAATCCCACCAGAGTATGAACCGCTGACATTCCCTGGGTACAAAGGGCTGAGAGCTCCGGGTGGGCAAAAATGTCCAAGATGTGGACTGTGAACATGGAGGACTGCCCTGAACTCAGCTTGCAGCCACAGGGAGGACTGGTTTGGGGGTTCAGTGTCTGATTCCAGGGCAATGAGTTTCAAGAACTCCTGGCTCCAGGGACCCTGTTCAATCTTGAGCCCCAGGACCTCACTGACTAGTAACCACTCACCACTCCCCTAACATGTCCAGGGGTCAAAGGTGGGATATCAGGGGGATAAAAGCTGGGATGCTGGGGTCAGTCATTCCCAAGTTGCAGCCCCAGCTCTGCCACTTCCCAGCTGGGTCTTCCCCTCCAGCTGCAGTGTCCTCATCTATAAATGAGGCCCACGATGACCACCAAGCCCACCTAAGATGCACACAGCAAATTCGAGTTAATGAAGCCTCTTATCCGTCATGTCATCAATGGACCTGGCCATCAGCCAAATTACAAAAATAAACAAACAAAAAACCCACTGCTGTCAAGTCAATTCTGGCTCATAGCAACCCTATAGGACAGAGTAGAACTGCTGCATAGGGCTTCCAAGGCTGTAATCTATACGGGAGAAGACTGCCACATCGTTCTCCCGTGGAGCAGCTGGTGGGTTTGAACTTCCAAACTTACGGTTAGCAGCTGAGCACTTAACCATTGTGCCATCAAGGCTCCTTATGAAATACGGTAAGTTAGATCCTAAAAGAGAAATGACTAATTCAAGGTCATATGATCAGGAGGAATCTGGATTTGAGTCCAGAAAAACCCAGTACCATCACCCTCCAGCTAGAGATGATCAGGACACATCAAGGTCGACCAGTTGTGTTTATTGCTTGTTGTGGCCAGGGAGACATTCACCACGGGGAAGAGTGGGGTATCTCAGTAAGAGGGTCAGAAAGGACCAAGTATAGGATTTGGGCCTTGTTGTTGTTAGGTGCCGTCACGTGGATTTTTGACTCATAGCAGCCCCAAGTGACAGAGTAGAACCGCCCCAAAAGGTTTTCCAGGCTGTGATCTTTATAGGAGCAGATTGCCAAGTCTTTCTCCCACAGAACCATCTGGTCAGCAGCCAAGCACTTAACCACTGCGCCACCAGGGCTCTTTATTTGGGCTTTGGTTGGGTGCTTTGAGGGAGGGTCTAAGGAAGTGGGGCTTTGCTCTGGATTGGAGGCTGCCGGAAATTGGGGGCAATTCTATGACTGAGTAAAAACGTAGCAGTCACTCATTTAGCAGAGACGGGCATCCTGCTACTTTGCGGGTGGCACAGTGACCTTGTTCATGTCTGTGGCTTAGACAAAATTAGGGAGTGGGCTTGCTTTGTCTCATTTTATCCTGGGTGCACAGTGACCTTGCCTGAGGCTGGTATTCTCTAAGGTGGTTTATGTCCAACAGGAGAACACAAGTGGCCTGGCTGTGGGTGTCAGATTAGTCCTGACATCGGGGCCACTTTTTTTTCTTTCTCACTAGGATGGGGTCTGGGGGTTCAAAGACCCAGCCTAAGAGGCCCGGAGGAAGACACAAAACCAGGGGCCATGGGGGCAGGTCCTTTAATTCTTCTGCAAGATTTACTGAGGACCTACTGCAGTGACCTGGAGTCCCTGGGTGGTAAACAGTTAACACATTCACCTGCTAACTGAAAGGCTGGCAGTTCCAACCCACCCAGAGACACCTCGAAAGAAAGGCCTGGCGATCTACTTCCAAAAAATCTGCCATTAGAAACCACTGGAGCACAGTTCTACTCTGACACACATGGGCTCACCATGAGTTGGAATAGACTCAATGACAACTAGTACTGCAGTGACCAAGACAGCCAGGCCTCCACCTGCCCGAAGTTGACCTCCAGTGGGAGACACGGTGAAGAAAACACGATCATTATCGACGATGATCACAAACGTGATTCAACAGGGGAAAAGTTACCACTACCCTGCCTACTTTACCAGGGTAGCCAGGAGGGCCTCCAGGAGGTGACACCTGAGTCAGTGAGTCGAGACCCGAAGGAGGTAGAGGAGTGGCCTTGGGAGGAGGTGGGGAACAGCATTCTAGGCAGAGGGAACAGCAAGCACAAAGGCCCCAAGTAGGAAGTATGGGTTAAAAGCAGAAAGGTGGGGGGAAGCCTGTGTGGTTGAAGTGGAGGGAGGGGTGGGCAGGGGCCACCTCCAGCAAGATCCAGAGGGGCAAAATGGGCACTGAGGACCTTCTCCCTCCTCTCCTTTCCCACCTTCATCCAGAACCAGGGGCTCTGCCCCACCCCAGGCCACATCAGCCACACCCACATTCTTCTAACTACAGTTTTCCCTGCTCCACTCCAAAGCAAAAAATTTGGGTCTAGGACAGACCTAGTTCTGCCACACTCTAGCTGTGTGACCTTGGGCAAGTCACTTCCTTGAGCTTGTTTTCCTCCCATGTAAAACGGTGACACACACCTGATGGCGTTACTGTGAAGATTTAAGGAGATAATCGTGGAAAGCTATAACCTGCTGGCCTCAAGTCCTCTTGTGGTGACCTCATGTTTTACAGAGTAGAACTGCTCCACAGGATTTTCTTGGCTGTAATCTTTACAGGGAAACCCTGGTGGTGTAGTGGTTAAGAGCTACAGCTGCTAAGCAAAAGGTCCGCCGTTCAAATCCACCAGGTGCTCCTTGGAAACTCTATGGGGCAGTTCTACTCTGTCTGATAGGGTCCCTGTCATGGACTGAGTTGTGTCCCCCCAAAATATCTGTCAGCTTGGCTGGGTCATGATTCCCAGTGTTGTATGGTTGTGTAATCTGATGTGATTTCCTTATATGTTGTAAACTCTATGACTATGATGTTATTATATGTGATCTCCTTAAGTGTTGTAAATGCTATCATTGTGATGTGGTTAATATACTGATGAGGTTTATCAGATTAGGTAGCGTCTTAATGCAATCTCTTTTGAGATATAAAAGAGAGAAGTGAGCAGAGACACATGGGAGCCTCATACCATAAAGAAAGCAGTGCCGGGAGCAGAGCACATCCTTTGGACCTGAGGTTCCTGCGCAGAGAAGCTCCCAGACCAAGGGAAGACCGATGCATCACAAGGACCTTGCTTCACAGCCAACAGAGAGAGACAGAGCCTTCTCCTGGAGCTGATGCCCTGAATTTGGACTTGTAGCCTACTGGACTGTGAGAGAATAAACTTCTCTTTGTAAAGCCATTCACTTGTGGTATTTCTGTTAGAGCAGCACTAGATGACTAAGACAGTCGCTATGAGTCGGAATCGACTCCGCGGCAATGGGTTTGGTTTTTGGGGTTTTTTCAATCTTTACAGATGCCAATTACTAGGACTTTCTTCCACAGCACTGCTGGGTGGGTTCAATGCGACTTTAGGTTAGTAGCTGAGTGCAAACTGTTTGGACCACCCAGGGACCTTTTTGTAAAGCTATACATGTGCTCAAGGGTCCCTGGGTGGCACAAACAGTTTGCACTTGACTACTAACCCAAAGAAGCCCTAGTGGCACACTGGTTAAGAGCTACAGTGAGCTACAGCTGCTAACCAAAAAGGTTGGCAGTTCAAATCCACCAGCCACCCTTGGAAACCCTATGGGGACAGTTCTACTCTGTCCTATAGGGTCGCTATGAGTCAGAATCAACTTGATGGCAATAGGTTTGGTTTTCGATTTTACTAACCCAAAGATTCGTGGTTCAAACCCATCCAGCGGCACCATGGAAGAAACGACTGGCAATTTACTTCCATAAAGATCACAGCCCAAAAAACCCTATGGAGCTCAGTTCTACACTGTAACTCATGGGGTTACCATGAGTTGGAATCAACTCTATTACAACGGGTTTTTATACATGTGCTCAATAAATTAAAATCTACACTGTCCCTTCCCAGGGTAGATTTTGTCTTGGGGAAGAATGGAGAGGCCTGATGTTCAGCCCCTCAAGGGTTAATGAACTCAGGCTGGTGACTTAGTGCAAAAAGCTTCCCAGGAGATGGTAGCAGGGTATAGAGGAGACTGAAAGCACCAGCAGCCACAAGCCCCAACAGCCCCCCTGGAAAGGGGAGGGTGGTGTCCACCCCTGGGTAATATCAAAGGTTCCTGACAGAATTTTGAGCTGAGTTGCTGAGTCAGCCCAGAAGCCACCTGGCTTTTGGCAGCCTCTACCTGGCCTGAGGGTAGTCACTGTCTCAGCAGCACCATATCCATCACCAGTCAGTAAGTAGGATATCACCACCTCCCAGTTCCAGCTTCGAGCTTCAATACTGAAAGATTCTACAGGGAAAAAACTAAATGATGCAGGAAGCATCAAAAGAAGATGGAAGGAATACACAGAGTCACTGTACCAAAAAGAATTAGTCAACATTCAACCATTTCAGGAGGTAGCATATGATCAAGAACCAATGGTACTGAAGGAAGAGGTCCAAGCTGCACTGAAAGTACTGGCGAAAAACAGGGCTCCAGGAATTGACAGAATACCTACTGAGATGTTTCAACAAATGGATGCAGCACTGGAGGTGCTCACTTGTCTATGTCAAGAAATCTGGAAGACAGCTACCTGGCCACGGACTGGAAGAGATCGATATTTGTACCCATTCAAAAGAAAAGTGATCCAACAGAATGCGGT